GTCGGAAGTCTGAAGAGGAATTGCCATCCTTTAGAGCAGGAATGGACAACCTCTGTATTCTCAGAAGCCACTCAATAATTTCCTTGGAGAGTAGTTTGTGGAAGATGTGTTTTGCCACATAAATTGATCCCTCACAAGCTGGTGTCACACAGCAGAAAGGGATTCACAGACATGATGTGCTTCAAGATGACTTTTTTATTGAGCATTCATCCTGATTTGTTTTTAGGGGAGGCTAGAGAGCATTGTGGGACGTGGGTGGCGCTGTGGGTTAAACCACAGAGCCTAGGACTTGCTGATCAGAAGGTCGGCGGTTCGAATCCCCACGACGGGGTGAGCTCCCATTGCTTGGTCCCTGCTCCTGCCAACCTAGCAGTTTGAAAGCACCTCAAAGTGCAAGTAGATAAATAGGTACCACTCCGGTGGGAAGGTAAACGGTGTTTCCGTGTGCTGCTCTGGTTCTCCAGAAGCGGCTTAGTCATGCTGGCCACATGACCCGGAAGCTGTACACCGGCTTCCTCGGCCAATAAAGCGAGATGAGCGCTGCAACCCCAGAGTTGGTCACAACTGGACCTAATGGTCAGGGGTCCCTTTACCTTTACCCTTTTAGAGAGCATTGTGTCCAAGCAAGTGTTATTCTAGATTATTTTCCTATGCATTTCACAATCACTTAATGCAAAAAGTCAGATCTTTTGGGTTGCTGTGTAAGACCTCCCAACTCAGTATATTAGCATAGTGTCAATTTGCTGGGATGGGATTGCATCACACCTGACAGTGTGGAAGTCCCCATACTCTCAGAAATAGTTAAAGCAAGGATGGGGAATCTGTAGGCCCTAGATGCTGGTCGACTTCCATCTACCCTAGCCAGTGGGGTTAAGGGTCCAGAATTATGGTAGCTGGAATCCAGCAACACATGGAGGGCCATAGATTCCTCAACCTTGGGTAAGAGCTTTATAAAATATGGCAAAATAAAGATTTTCCAGGGGATATTCATGTTTGTTTGCTGCTGCAAAAATTAGAGATTTGTGGCACCTTAATTTTTTATTATGGTACGGCTTTTGTGGACTAGAGTTCATTTCATCATATGCAAGGTTATCCAAAGTTGCACTATCACATGGTTGTATGGTAGTGGGGGCAAGATTAAAAGCAGTGAGGTCACAGGGGAATAAAATAAAGATAGATAGATAGATGATAGATAGATAGATAGATGATAGATAGATAGATAGATAGATAGATAGATAGATAGATAGATGATAGATAATCCTGACTCTGATAATTATGTTAAAGGTTAAAAAGGTAAAAGGTACCCCTGCCCGTACGGGCCAGTCTTGTCAGACTCTAGGGTTGTGCGCTCGTCTCACTCTAGAGGCCGGGAGCCAGCGCCATCCGCAGACACGTCCAGGTCACGTGGCCAGTGTGACATCGCTGCTCTGGTGAGCCTGCACCAGCGCAGCACACGGAACGCCGTTTACCGGTACCTTCCCGCTATAAAGAGGTACCTATTTATCTACTTGCAGTTTTTTAAGGGTGCTTTCGAACTGCTAGGTGGGCAGGAGCTGGGACCGAAAGACGGGAGCTCACCCCGCCGCGGGGATTCGAACCGCCGACCATACGATCGGCAAGTCCTAGGCATTGTGGTTTTTTTTTTTAAGCGGCATTCACATTCCAAAAGTAGTATCACAAACACCCAGGCATTAGGAGTCTATATGCAGTGTGATAAAAGGATCTTATCGTGATTGAGGTCGCAGATGATAGAACTGAACTTTATACCTTATTACTGAGTCATTTCAAGCTGGAGTCTCCCTTTGAAGTTCCCTTGATCAAGAACAACCCCCTTAAAATCAGCAGCAGAGTGTCTTCAGAGGCTGAAATGTTGATTTCTGAATATCTCCCTTTCTGAGGTCAGACAAGAAGAAGAAGAAGAAGAAGAAGAAGAAGAAGAAGAAGAAGAAGAGGAAGAAGGGGAGGAGGAGGAGGAGTTTGGATTTGATATCCTGCTTTATCACTACCCTAAGGAGTCTCAAAGTGGCTAACATTCTCCTTTCCCTTCCTCCCCCACAACAAACACTCTGTGAGGAGAGTGGGGTTGAGAGACTTCAAAGAAGTGTGACTGGCCCAAGGTCACCCAGCTGCTGCATGTGGAGGAGCGGAGATGTGAACCCGGTTCACCAGATTACGAGTCTACCACTCTTAACCACTACACCACACTGGTGGTGTGTTTAATCTTTTGTATGGAGACTGACTTGTTTGTTCTATGTGTAATGTGGAAGAGCATGGCTGGTAGATGATAATACATCTCATAGATAGTGGAAGATGAGCTGGTGAAGGAATCCTTGGTGTTGGGGCTGACATTACTAGTTCCTCTAATAGTGTTGCCTAGTAGATATGGGGACAGAGTTGGCACCTGGGTTTTGTTGCAGAAAGAGTCTGCCTTTGTGCTACTGTTAGGTGACCTGCTGTTGCTACTGAGTAGGTATCTGTAAGCAAAGACAGGCCTACCACTCAAAGTCTATGAGCAGGAAGTAATATAACATTGTCCAGGATGGGCTGTAGATTACTGATAATACAGTGGTACCTCGGGTTACATACGCTTCAGGTTACAGACTCCGCTAACGAAGAAATATTACCTTGGGTTAAAAACTTTGCTTCAGGATGAGAACAGAAATCGTGCAGCGGCAGCGCAGCAGCAGCAGGAGGCCCCATTAGCTAAAGTGGTGCTTCAGGTTAAGAACAGTTTCAGGTTAAGAACAGACCTACGGAACAAATTAAGTTCTTAACCTGAGGTACCACTGTATAATGGAGTGATTTTTCTCTTCTAGGTCTACTCTGTAGTGTTGTAAATAACTCCTGGGTACCAGTCTCACCTTGTTGATCTGCTTTATCACTTCATTGGATGGGAATGGTATTATAGTCTAAGAAATGCCTGGTGTAAATTCATAAGTTGCAAGTATCTGTTGAACATATGAGAATAGACTCTGCACCCCACCCTGCCTGCCTTACTTCTAGTATCAGACCTGGGCCCAGAGAAAACTTGTTTACAACAGTGAAGTGTATTGAGGTTTGATTTGAAAGTCTTTCCTCTGTCTTTTTCAGAAAAAAAGGATCTCTCTCTCTTTCCCTCTCCCTCCTCTCTCTCCTCTCTCCTCTCTCTCTCTCTCTCTCTCTCTCTCTCTCTCTCTCTGGAACTGGGGATGAATTTGATGCAGCTCACATTTATAGACAAACATACCAAATCCACACTTTCTGAAACAGCCATTCTGCATATCCTGATGCATAGCCATAGGCAGCTTGCCATGAGATTAATGCTCCCCCCCCCCCGCAAGATATTTTTTCCTAGTCAGAGCACCACTCTGATGTGTTGATGCCCTCTGCTGGTTAAATGCTAGCATTCTGACTGAGTATTTTGATAAATCAAGACTTCCATGTCTTCCATGGGATTGAGATACTTGGAGGGTGGAAGGATATTTAAGAGGCAGCTCTAGTTCTTTGAGGGAGGGTTAAATGGTTTGGAGAAGAGTTAAATTACTGATGGACTGAATGTTTGGAAGTTCAAGGTTTTTTCCAATTATACTATTCATACATTTTTTAAAATGTGAATAAAAAAATAAAAAGCAGGATTTTAATACTCTAATATAATTTCATGCAATGAAAATTGATAAATCCTAAACTCTTATTTATCTTTACAATTTTCTGTGATACAATAGTTTGGTGAGATTCCAATCTAAGGAATCTTAACTTGCAACACCTGCAAAGTTGTTGAGCTTTTTAACCCAAATGGTTAAAATAGTGATTTTAAGATGCTGTTTCCGAAAACCAGGATGTGTCAGGAATTTTCCTGATGTATGGCAAGTCTAACTCAATGGGTCTGAGATTACCTGCATGCCATTTGAGACACTAAGGGAGCAAACCCATAGACAGGAAACATATATAACAGTGATCCAGTTTTAATTTCATGCATGGATCCCTAAGGTTAGGACTCCATGTTTATGGCGGGGTTGCATTTATATCTATCATCTATCATCTATCATCTATCTATCTATCTATCTATCTATCTATCTATCTATCTATCTATCTATCATCTATCTATCTATCTATCTATCTATCTATCTATCTATCTATCTATCTATCATCTATCTATGTATCAATCTATCATCTATCATCTATTGCAGATTGCCATGGAATCCATTTTTGATGAAGAGTAATATATACGTACTGTATTTTGATGAAAGCCAATAAGTAGGAACATTGGTTCAAGTAGCTCAGTATTGCTTTCACTGGCTGGCAGCAGCTGTCCAGGATTTCAGGCAGGGGGTCTTTCCTGCCTGGAGATACCAGGGAATGAACCAGGGACCTTCTGCATGCAAAACAATTGCTTTACCATCAAGTGATGGCTCTTCTGCAAGCAAACATTTGTATTTATAGAGGAATACTTGAATCTTTCTGTTATGTACTGAAGTTCTCACCCTGGGCCAGCAGGGGGATACGGTAGATAGTTTTCACTCAGGTCCACATATGCAAATAAGGGATTTAAAGTGACGTTCAGTGATTGGATAGTTACAGAAAATGGTTACTGTTGCGTTCTAGTGGAGCTCTACATAAGCAGGCTGACTGAGCCCTTCAGCTCAGTTCTGTTCTGCCCTGTGAATAAACAAGAGCTGTTTGAAAAATCGCTGTGTCGTCTGATATGTTCACCCACAACTTGACACTTTCTGATGTGACTCTGAAGGTAGATGACACTACACATTTTCACGGTCTCAGAAATGTGATACACATGAAGACATTTCCACTGCCCTCCTTTGCCAGCCCAATTGTTCCCTAAGTTTGTAAGAGAGGAAGGCTGATTGCGGGATTTACTAGTGGATTTCTAAGAAGCTGCTGCTATGCTTGAACCTGGAAGAGGCTTAGATATTTTGCTGTTCCCAGCCCAGGGATCCCTGATCTCCTACCCAAGGCTAATAATGACACCCCGAATCCTTTGTCTGTAAACGTGCTGATTTATTACTTTCCAAAGCTCTGCAATACACCATAAAGCAGTAGTCCTCATTACATTGTCCGGCTGAGGATATGACTGGCCATCAACTTGACTGCCAGCATAATCTCTTGGCAAGTTGGCTTGATCTCAGATTCAGGAAGGAAGAACCCATATTTGCCCCTATCACGGAGCTCAAAGGTGAAGGAATATTTGATACCCTGATTGTAAGCCCAGTCATCGGAACAACCAGAGGAAGGATCTGCAAAACAGGACAACAAAATTAATTGCCGCTAGCCTGCTGCAGAGAACACGGCAAGAAAAAAATAGAGGGAAATGTTATTGTTGCTTGTTTATTATTTCGTCTTGTTTCTTAGGACTTCTCAATGGCATTCAAAATAGGTTTAGAAGATGACCTCTGGTGAGCGCAGAATCAAATTAAGCCTTGACCAAAGGTCCATTCACACATGCATGCTCAACACTTGATGACTGCAACACATAAAGCCTTTATATTGCACATTTTTGTATGCTATTTTCACAAGTATTGCAATTTTATGCACACTTTGCCTTAATAGACACCTCTTTTTTGGGTAAACATTACTTGGTTGAAGAACTGTCTTGCAAAATCTGGAAAAGTGCAAATTGTGAAGGATAGTGAATTTGGTAGTTTCACATTAAAATGCAAATGGAATTGATTTTCTATTCCACCTCTACTTCATAACCCAACAAGTCAGTCAGGGATAGAGCTTAGAATATTCCATTTATATGTATCCTTTCTCCACACAGTCTAAAAGGGTCTCTAGGCTTCCCCCTCCTTGGCTGCCTGGGATCAGGGCAACTTATTTATTTGTGAGAGTGAACTTATTTATTTGTGAGGCTGTTATGTACTGAGCTGAATCCTAGAACAATAGGATCCAGAATGCAGCTGTCTGATTGGTCCGCAGGAGCCACCCAATCCAGCTAAAGGTGGAAGTGAATCAGCGAGCAGCCAATCAGGTTCCTGGATGAAGTGAATCAGCAACCTGATTGGCCTGCAGGAGCAGCTAATCAGGCTTCTGGAGGAGGTGAATCCGCAGCCTAATTGGCCTACAGGAGCAGCCCGGAATTAGCCAATCATGCGGGGCCCATTGTGTAAATAATGTATATATAGCTAGATGTTTTGGGGAAAGATTCATTCATTGCTACTATGAGCTGAATAAAGAGCATGAAATTCACACTCAACTCTGAGTATATTTCAGAGGAGCAAAATTTCAGTATAACAGAATCATCCCCAGGCTGGTTTAGCCAGGTTCTTATTAGGAACAGAGGAGCCCAGAACTGAACTGATAGGTGGAAGCCTTTTCTACACTGTTGTTAGGAGAACACAACCTTGTGTGGTGGTGGGGCTCCTATGGTGCATGACAGGAAGAAATTCTGTAAGTGGCTCTTTTTCCAACACTACATCTGCATGTCGCAGTTTCTATTTTTCTTTCACATGTGTAGTGAAGGAAGCCCTTGAAGTCCTAAACACAATGATTCCAAATGTGTTATGTTTACAGAAAGATGAAGTCTTTCAAATACTTACAGATTGTCAGTGCTGATGTCCCATACTTGTATTTTTTACCATACAGGCTGGCTATAGCTTGGGAAGCTTTCTTTGCGAGTTCATTCTGGTTTTAAACAAAACAAAACAAAACAAAACAAAACAAAAAACAAAACAAACCATTTGTGGTGGTGGAATATTCTGACAAAAAGGGAAATGGGGGCAGAAATTGCTGACATTTTCTTATTTGTCCCATATGAACCCATATAACTGCAAAGTGAATGTGGTTTATGTCTTCAAATCTGATGGAAGCCGGTTTGATGGAATGCACATCAAACAGCAGTATTTCTCAATAAACTACAGAATATATATGAATTGTGGGGCTAATGTCATGTGCACACAGCTTCAAACACCAGCTGTGGAAGCACACTAGACCCAGAGTTAATGGTAATCTTAACATTGCCATAGTCTCAAGATGGAACATGGGAGGGTCAGCCATTGTGTGTCCCCCCCCCCCACAGCCTTAGGTTCAATCCAAAAGATGCAGAATACCCAACTGAACCAAAAGATGCAGAATACCCAACAAAACACTAAAATACAATAAACTATTAAACATTAAAAGCTTCCCTAAACAGGGCTGCCTTCAGATGTCTTCTAAAAGTTTGGTAGTTATTTTTCTCTTTGACATCTGATGGGAGGGTGTTCCACAGGGTGGGCGCCACTACCACGAAGGCCCTCTGCCTGGTTCCCTGTAACTTGGCTTCTTGCAGCGAGGGAACCGCCAGAAGGCCCTCGGCACTGGACCTCAGTGTCCGGGCAGAACGATGGAGGTGGAGACGCTCCTTCAGGTATACTGGACCGAGGCCGTTTAGGGCTTTTCAAAAGTTTCCTCCTTCATCCCACCCCCAACTTACTTCAGTTACAATCTAAATAAATAGTTGCGGAGAACTCAGAAGCTTGAACATTATTTTGTGACATATTTGGTTGGCCTAATGCAGGTATTGCTCTAATATGGATTCCCCCCCCCGGTGCCTTTTAGATATTTTTGAACTATAATTCCCATCAACTCAGTCATCCTAAGGCTGCCCAAAACGTCTGGAGAGTGCCAGATTAGAGAAGATATTACCAGTTCGTCGTGGTTGGGTGCCTTGTTCAAAGTATAGCCATAAGGGAACAATATCATCTGAGAGTAGGAATGAATTGACAGATAGGCTTTGATTGAAGAAAGATGGCTGCGGATGAATGTTGCAACTGCTTTCGTTTCTGGTTCCGACTCTGCTGACGGTCCACAAAAATTTTCAGTACAAGGATCTTTGGAAGCATCCACAGCTGTTGGTGAAGAGAACACTTGCTTTTAATTAGCTACAGAAGGTCAATATAGGCTTTCCTGGAAAAGTTTGAATTGGAAAATTTTCCTCCAGTCCAAAATGGATGAAGAGTTGATGTGGCATGTTTATTTGATTTAACGAAACTAATTTAACAAAGCTAAGAAGGATGTCATGTTAATTTATATTTGCTGTACAAAATACCTTTTTTTTTTTTTGCCAATGCCAAGATGTCTTGGAAACCAAAATACAAAATTGAGAGGGGAGGAAGTAATGTCCACATAGTGTGGCTTCAGAGTTATATTCAAAAAAATTCAAAGGTTTAGTTGCAAGTGTGTGTGTGTGTGTTTTAAAAAAGAAAGAATACTTACTGCCCCATGCAGCATCAAAGTTTCTGTTGAGATCAACACCAATACACTTATTGCTGGTTACATTAGAGCGATTCTTTCTCCAACAGCGATCCTGATCGACAAAACAATTGAGGGACTTCAGACCGATATATGAATCCCCCCAACCCCTTAACAAATGATCAACAGATTGAATTGATTTTGAGCACAAAGCCCCCATGGTTAAAATGAAGACTTTCATATTTAAAACTAGGAAGACAGTGCAATAAAAAAATAACACACTAAATGAATTTGTGTTTGACATTATGATCCTCTCACTGTAAATTCTGTCTCTCAGGCTCCTCATGTGAGCACGTGCTACTCCAATTGTTATGAAATTCCTACAAAGAAGGCATTTTAGTGTAGGTAAGCCACAGCATGAAGGCGAGGTGTGCATCATTTCATGCGACGATCACACATGATCAAGCAAATGAGATGCATATGCTAGGAAGAAGCAGCCTATGAGAGTCTGGTTGGTACATGGCAAATAGAGTCAACTGAGGTACATGCAGAGAAACAGACCCAGGTTTGGCTGATCTCTGTGTGGAATACATAATATCTGAAGCCAAGTGGAGGACGGAGGTAGGCCAGTTCCTTGTTTAACCCTTAGTACTTCTATGTTATGGTTGCTTCTTCATTAATGTCTGTCTGGCTTCCTGATTTGCTCAAAATCTGCTAACTGGTAGCCACCTGGAGCTCATGAGCAGTAAACTGACCTTTGAAAAGGAGCAACAGATCTTTGTACCCTTAGGTAAGGTTAACAGATTTTTTTCAATGAATCCGGGGACACTTTTCAACTTCAGTGGATTTTGTATGGGGTAAAGGTAAAGGGACCCCTGACCATTAGGTCCAGTCGTGACCGACTCTGGGGTTGCGGTGCTCATCTCGCTTTATTGGCCAAGGGAGCCGGCGTACAGCTTCCAGGTCATGTGGCCAGCATGACTAAGCCACTTCTGGCAAACCAGAGCAGCACTCGGAAACGTTGTTTACCTTCCCGCTGGAGTGGTACCTACTTATCTACTTGCATTTTGATGTGCTTTCGAACTGCTAGGTTGGCAGGAGCAGGGACCGAGCAATGGGAACTCACCCCATCACAGGGATTCGAACCACCGACCTTCTGATCGGCAAGTCCTCGGCTCTGTGGTTTAACCCACAGCGCCACTCATGTCCCTTTGTATGGGGACTGATTTGTAAATCTGGGGACTGTCCCCGGGAAATGGGGACATCTGGTAACCTTACCTTAGGGGGCCCATCTGCACTATACAGAATTACGAGAACTATAGTTTGGGTGCTGGGAGTTATTAGCAACCCCCCCCCCCAGGTGGTATAACAATCCTGTTTCTTACCAGAGCCCTATTGGAATTGCAACTCAATGAGGGAAATCAGGGTCTCCTGACAACTCTCAGCCCCCTCAACAAACTACAGTTCCCTTGATTCTTTGGGGGGAAATCATGACAGTTCAAGGTGGTATGATATTGCTTTGAATGTCTAGGCGCAGTGTTTCCCAACCTTGGGCCTCCAGCTGTTTTTGGACTACAACTCCCATCATCCCTAGCTAGCAAGACCAGTGGTCAGGGATGATGGGAATTGTAGTTCAAAAACAGCTGGAGGCCCAAGGTTGGGAAACACTGGTCTAGGGCACATGAGGCCAGAATTAGGGCAGTTGCTCATGAGCAGGTATGGACTTCATTATATCTTGTTTGCCCTCCTCAAACCATTTTCACTGTACCAACCCACAAGAGCACACAAATATCCCATTTTCATTGCACATCAGTCCAGAGTTTTTGCCCTTTAAAATCACAGATGAAGATTTAAGTTGCTAAAAGTAGCTTTTGCAAGCAGGAAGATGTGTACAGTACCGAAGTCCAACTCCAGATGTAGCCATCTATGTTGAGTACGGGAAGGATGTAGAACTTCATGTTGTCCAGCAGATTTGTCATAACCTTGTCTTTTCCGTATGTCCTGATGGCCTGGTGATACATTCAAGGGTTTAGAAGTCACTTTTACTCAAGGATTAAAAGCAAATTACAATGCAGTTCTATGTGTCCTTACTGAGGAGTAAGTCTCACTCTCCACAGTGGGCCTAACTCTCAGATAAGTGCACATAGGATTGTCGCTGCAGCTCATCATACTGCATGACAACAGATTCTCTGCAGAAGCTAATCTTCATCCTAATCATCGCGGATCACTTTTCTAGAACAATCCCAAAGGCAAAGTGACAACTTCGTATGTATGGTTGTTTCCAGACCACCTGTTTATTGAGCATTCATCCTGATTTGTTTGCACAAAGTTCTGGAAAGAATATGCAATATTTGCTATTTATTGGGTCTTCAATCCACTTGGTTTGCAAAGCAATAACTTTTAGCAATAGTTGTCCTGTACTTTGCAATGCAGTCTTCCCACCACTATAGGTAAAGGTAAAGGTACCCCTGCCCGTACGGGCCAGTCTTGACAAACTCTAGGGTTGTGCGCCCATCTCACTCAAGAGGCTGGGGGCCAGCGCTGTCTGGAGACACTTCCGGGTCACGTGGCCAGCGTGACATTGCCGTTTACCTTCCCGCTAGTAAGCGGTCCCTATTTATCTACTTGCACCTGGGGGTGCTTTCGAACTGCTAGGTTGGCAGGCGCTGGGACCGAGCAACGGGAGCGCACCCCGCCGCGGGGATTCCCACCACTATGCTTACTATAAAAAGTCTGATTTTGCAGGGGTTGGGGCCTTGTTGCACAAGCATGCCAAGTCCACTTTAATCACACAGCCTAAATTTGCTGATATGTGATTGAATCTCACCTGCAAAATAGTGACAGCCTGGAAGTGGCCTATGCCATATTTTGTTAAACCAGACTGGAGCACATTCACAATTTGTTTGCTGGCAGAAAGGAGCCTTTGATTCCCCCCCCCCCCTTGTGTCTCCTGCTGTGACGTTGGTAGGGCTGGAATTGATTATCACTGTTGGGAGGTGTTGCATAGTAAAGGAAACTTTCTGAGGTTCAGCCACTAAGACATTGCAGGTAAATAGGACTGATTGATAACTAACCTCTTTCACAAACCACTGGCAAAATGCAGGTGAAATCCACTCTCTTGCATGAATTCCGCAGTCCATGAAGATGGCCTTTTTGCTGTCCTTTTGTTTCCCAACCTGCTTTTGAAACATTTTCTGTGGTTAGGAACAATTTGTAAGCTGCTGGTACATCTCTCTCTCTCTCTCTCTCTCTCTCTCTCTCTCTCTCTCTCTCTCTCTCTCTCTCTGTCTCTGTCTCTCTGTGTGTGTGTAAAACTACACAGATGTGTCAGTTCCTTTCTGAGAACCTTTCAGAAATGGATTTTCGCTTTTAAGCAATGCTGCAATTGTGTAACAAACCTTTATAGCTTCCAGGGATACAATCTTACAAACACTTCCTCTTCCTTAAAAAATAAGCCCAGCGGAGCCCTGTAAAACCTACCATGGGTCATAGCCTTGCATAGGATTTGGATACAAGTCTTTTTGTTTTTCTCATTAAAGTAATAGGATATGCTGGAGGAAGGTTGGGGAACCTTCGTCCCTCCAGATGTTGTTGGACTACAAGTCCCATCAGTCTTGACTATTCACCATGCTGGCTGGGGTGGATAGGAGATGTAGTCCAGAAACATTTGGAGGGCTGAAGATTCCCCACCCCTGCTCTTGAGTATCATTCCCATTCTTTGAATATTGCTGTGGAAAGCGCTTCATACCTGAAGGATGTACATGGGCCGATTTTCAAAAGTTTTTCCAATCTGAAGGCGGGAAATCAACTTTGGCTTCTTTTCTGCCATTCTGGCAGTCCAAGCAGAAATCTGAATAAAATAAAAGATAAATTGTTCAGCTAGCAGCAGATTAAATGCTAGTGATGCACAGATGATTACTTTTTAATTGGAACTGAAGTTTGGGACACCAGATGACTAAAATATGGACGGACAGTAGCAGTGGTCTCATACCTTCCAGCACAGGGGTGTCTGAACCCCAGGTCCTTTATGAGTTACTTGTTCATCAACTGTTAATTTTTAGCTGTTGTTTTATATTTTGTATTTGATATAGTTTGGTTTTTTATTGCTGTTTTTATGTAACCTGCCTTGAGATTACTTGATGAATGGCAGGATATACATGGAATGATGATGATGATGATGATGCTAATACTCAAGTACAACACAAAATAAGACCAGGGGTGCAGCTACATACAGAAACCCCCCTATAAATAACTCAGAAATTAAATCATTATAACAAAAAAAAAAAAAGCTATGTAAAATTGCAAAGAATTGTTTTAGCTCTCCAGCACCATCTGGTGTTGCAGGTTTATAATGCAATCAAAGCGCTGGTTTTTTCTTTTTCTTTACTAATGTAGCTGTGTCCCCAGTCCTATCTGAGTGAAACCAGTGCTACTTCTGACTCCTGAGAATACTTCCCTTTAAGGTCATCAAATGTATCCTGTACCTTGTGCCATTCATTATATTTTGTGTAACTGTAGCTGTCGGGAGAATTCCTTTCAAGTTGCTTGTCAATCTCTTCTTGCAGGTTTTGAAATAAAATCCTGCATGATACAAAACACCACAAGCAAAATCATGTACTGTCATGCACAGGATCAATTCAATATGTAAGTTTTATGCATCGCACGACTTGTACACCTTTTAATATAAAAATGATGGGGCTCATTTTGGCTAAAAGTTGGTCGTGACTCCCATTCCATTGAGAATGATGTGTGACAAACATTCTACGTTGGTTTCAATGTCATTTTAGTCACAACTGACTTGAGCTGGACCAGGTCTGTTAAAGCACATGGTTCATCCAATATGATTCAGAGAACACATGGTATATCTCAGCTCCACAATTTTGATCTCAGTCTCTTGAAAGTTGGACATGGCTGGTTTACCTGATAACAAGCAGCAGTGAAGCTTTTCTAACAGCAGAACAAAACTAAGAACATCTGCTTTCTTGGGGCTATGACTCATTAACTAATTGAGGAAGAAGAAGAAAAATGTGTTGCATCACCTGTAGGTCAAATTCTACTCATAAATGAGAACTCCAAGGGCATAATAGGACAACCGCATACTTATATAACTTAAATGTCACTTTAATTGACAAAAAAAACACACAAAAAAAAAAACACTGGGAATTGTGACTTGGTGAAGATTCCTCAGTACCTGGAGTGTCAAGGATCCCCTGAGAATGAACATTAAACCAGTTTAAGTGTGCAGTGTGGATATGTACACAGATAATCCCACCATTATCTCTGCATGGATAAAACTGCTATTGACTATTTGTGCCATAGGTACTCTATTGGCTCTTAAGAACATAAGAAGAGCCTGCTAGAATCTACATAGTTTTCCAAATGGCTAGCAACCAGATGTGACAAATATTTAAGCATCACCCACTCATAATGTAGGCCGTTCTGCTCCAGGAGAGTCTTGGTAGTATTGGAATGTTCAGCACGGACAAGGAAATTCACTTCCATCTGGTTGACTATATGTGATGCCGAGTCTGGATACCAAAAGTCGATCTGCACAGGAAGAAATGTCAAGCAGTCAAGACGGAAGTCAACATGGATGTCGTTTTTGAAGAAATCTCTAGCTTTGCAAAGTAAAATGCCCCAGCATCTTAAAACTGGCCATATTAAGCTTGTTTGATGGACCTGAAAGATCAGAAATCTTTTATTTGCAGCCAAATTCTAGAATAACTTTAAATTTTCTAATTTGGATTACTGTTACTGTTGCAGGAATACCTGCTCTTCCTGGGTCCATCCATTGCCACATTACCAAAGGGTTTGGACAGTGGTTCCACCTGAAGCTGGAGTTTAATGGTTTCTCCTATCTGCTGCAGAGGAGAAGCGCCATTATGTTCCCAAAGGAAAGTACTATCCTACCGAATAGGACAATCTTCTCTCAGAGAATTAAAACCACAAAGGAAAAGTGTCTGGAAAAAGCACAGGCTGCAGCTAAAAGATTTGTTTTGCATTTACAAGGAAGACCCATCAAAACAAATTTATATGCTAGCCTGTGTTTTCTTGGATTGAAAAATTAGTGATGAGGTTAGACTAGGGTAGTGATTTTAAATTCTCGAGAATAATCTTTTGGTGAATATTCTCGAGAATATTCTTGATTAATGAGGTGTGTACATTTAAAGCAGCTGTGTAGACGACATAGAATTAACAGTTTGTGGAGAATATTCTCCAGAGAATTTTCTAGAAGAGAATATTCTCTGGAGAATATTCTTCGGAGAATATTCTTACCTCACATCATTCGACAAGGGTGATTATGTTTGGGGTGGTTTTTTTGTTCTTATTTGGCTCACAACTGGCAAAGCATGTTTAAAGGCCTTGAGTTGCAAGGGGAAAAAAACACATTATAATCATACAACATTTTTTGAAGAAAGTCCTATTAAAATGTCAAGGCTTTTAAGACATGTTTACATTTGTCTAGGAAAGCACTTTGGCCAGAGGTAAGATGAGCGCAGCAAATTGGCCTAAAGTCAGCAAACAGCTATTTTACTACTATATATGTTGAATGGCTTTGCAAGTGTGGGCCATGTCTCTCCTGTGGTCTCCTTGAAGATATGCTGAGCTCTGAATCTGTTTTGAGAATTTTTTGTATGAAAAGATAATGCCTTCATAAGGCCTTTGCAGTAAATTAATGCCTTTTTTGGAGATTGACAACATTCCTCTTTACCCTTTCAAGAGGAACGTGAAGAAAAGAGAACCAGATCCCTAGTCACAGGTTTTCAGTGTCTGCACTAAATGCGCATGTGTGGATATTTGAGCAGGAAAAGGTGTGAGGTTCCACTACTCTACTGTTTTCCACATACTTGGCTGATGGTAGTTCCCTATGCATGTAGAAGTGTAAGCTTTGTTCAAATGTCTGAGGGCTGTAGGATTTGTAGGATTCCTGAAAGTTTGATCAGGATCCTAGGATCGTGAGGGTGTACATGGAGAGAACTCTATGTATAGTAGGGATGAATCTGTCAGTCTGGGGCTCTCTCGATTTCTAATTTTTCAATCTTAAATTCATTTTGCCACATTTTTACATCACTTTGCATTTTTTTTTTAAAAAATGCCACCATTTGGGCCTGCATTTCTTCTAATATACAGTTTTTTTGTATACAATTCTTGCGTAATATAATCTATTTTTGCATGTTATTTTTCACCAATAGATGCGTATATATGCACACTTTCTTTAATACAGTGGTACTGTGGGTTAAACCACAGAGCCTAGGATTTGCCGATCAGAAGGTTGGTGGTTCAAATCCCCGCGACAGGGTGAGCTCCCGTTGCTCGGTCCCTGCTCCTGCCAACCTAGCAGTTCGAAAGCACATCAAAGTGCAAGTAGATAAATAGGTATCACACCTGCAGGAAGGTAAACGGCGTTTCCGTGCGCTGCTCTGGTTCACCAGAAGCGGCTTTGTCATGCTGGCCACATGACCTGGAAGCTGTACGCCAGCTCCCTCGGCCAATAAAGTGAGCACCACAACCCCAAAGTCGGTCATGACTAGACCTAATGGTCAGGGGTCCCTTTACCCTTTACCTTTACCTCAGGTTAAGAACTTAATTTGTTCTGGAGGTCTGTTCTTAACCTGAAACTGTTCTTAACCTGAGGTACCACTTTAGCTAATGGGGCGTCCCGCTGCCGCCATGCGATTTCTGTTCTCATCCTGAAGCAAAGTTCTTAACCTGAGGTATTATTTCTGGGTTAGCGGAGTCTGTAACCTGAAGCGTATGTAACCTGAAGCGTATGCAACCCGAGGTACCACTGTATATTTAGTACACAGTTTTTGTTTGTGAGCAGCATTGCAAAACTGGGAGACCTGCAAATTTCAAAGGATACCCAGGTTTCAGATCTGCATATTGTTCTGTTCACGTTAAAATGCAAAACTGAACTGAATTGCTTCCCCATCCCTAATGCACAGGCCTTTTGAGGAATTCATGCTATGTCTTGTGAGTGTTTGGTGGCCTCTCTTGTCTTCTTCACAGACACAGCCAGGCAGATGTCTCCCTGGTGCAACCCCAGAGAAACCACAACAAAATCTGGAAAAGTTGCAAAGAAGAGCAACCAAAACGATCAAGGGAGTTGGAGCAATTCTCCTCTCAAGAAAGACTACAAGGTTTGGGGCTTGCAAAAAGGTGAACAAGGAGGGATGTGGTAAAATGAAGTGTATAGGGAGAATAACTTCTCCCTCTCTCATAATACTAGAATGTGGAATCATCTAATGAAGATGGATGGTAGGAGCTTTACTACCAACAACAGAAAGTACCATACAGTGCATAGCTAAGCCACAGATTTTGCTTCTTCAGCAACTGGAATAGATTTGGGGAGTGCATGGGGCACATGCAGGAAGAGCCGAGGGGGAAGAAAATCCCATTGCACAAGTGGAAATCCTTCAACTGAAAGGATGCATGATTTGAATACCGCCCAAGGTTGATTTTCTTTTTCTTAACAACAACAACAACAGCCTTGCCGATTCTTACAGGATATTCAACAATCCAACACTAAACACAAAGGGTGGTGGATTGTGGGGGGAGGGAATCCAAGCTGTAAAAATATCTTACTGGTATTTTGCTTGCCAAGGATTTCAAGAAGCTCACTTGCTTTTCATTCTGAGGCTTCACACGGAACACCTTTGCACTGCAGGACAAAAAAGTCAAAGGAGTGAGTAGCATGTCAGGATTAATTGAAAGAACTTCTGCTTTCATCCAGACATGTAGAATGTTGACATGTCTTTTAATCTGGTTTTAGATTCTGATTGATTTTATTTCTTGGAAGTTTCAAATAGTTTTAAAGTTTTTTAAAATGATGTCATTTTATTTTACGTTTTTGTAAACATTTTTTTTTGCTTTTTGCAATCAAGCCGTTTATAAATTGAACGATATAAATAAATAAATGATAAATACCTGTCAAAACGCCGAGGACAAGTGATAGCAAAAGCAGTGGCAATCAAGCCCAAAGCCAACAGGGACTTCATGTTTCCTTTCCTCTGCAGCAATCAATGCCTGTCATATTTATTCCTCTGCTTGGTGAGATCAGCTGACTTCCTCAGGGGCATTCATGGGATGATATGAGGTTTCTGTTGTTATGCCTATGTTTGTAGTTAATGCAAGTACAACTCCTGTTAGTGCCTTCAAATTAATTGGGGGAGTGACCCTCCCGGAAACCTCTGTGATCAACATGAGATGCTACATCCAACTGTGATGTTTCTGTACATAATTTGAATGGGGGAAAAAAACACCTATTGTGGAATTCAGGGGTATATTTTAATTCCATTGGCCTAGATATGGGTATGTGATATTCAGGAGAAGCCCTACTGACATTTGAGAGTCTTCTCAGTCTGTACACTAAGGAACGCCTACACTTACATCAACCTGGGCAGTCATTCAGGCCGATCACCTGGAAGGCAACCAGAAAGAGGGTTTTATTCAGTGGTAGCTGGTGTCTGTTGAGACTGGAAGGCTGGAAGGCTGGGAGACCAACAGTTTGTTGTTGTTGTTTAGTCGTTTAGTCATGTCCGACTCTTTGTGACCCCATGGACCAGAGCACACCAGGCACTCCTTCTTCCACAGCCTCCCGCAGTTTGGTCAAACTCATGCTGGTAGTTTCGAGAACACTATCCAACCATCTCGTCCTCTGTCGTCCCCGTCTCCTTGTGCCCTCCATCTTTCCCAACATCAGTGTCTTTTCCAGGGAGTCTTCTCTTCTCATGAGGTGGCCAAAGTATTGGAGCCTCAGCTTCAGGATCTGTCCTTCCAGTGAGCACTCAGGGCTGATTTCCTTAAGAATGCATAGGTTTGATCTTCTTGCAGTCCATGGGACTCTCAAGAGTCTCCTCCAGCACCATAATTCAAAAGCATCAATTCTTCTACAATCAGCCTTTTTTATGGTCCAGCTCTCACTTCCATACATCACTACTGGGAAAACCATAGCTTTAACTATACGGACCTTTGTCGGCAAGGTGATGTCTCTGCTTTTTAAGATGCTGTCTAGGAGTCATAGCCAATGACAGGCAGAGCCAAATAATGCTGAGTTCTAAGGGAAATACTGAGATGAAAGAGAGGAAGCTGACAGGGAACTGACAGGCCCCGATCTGAGGGTCACTTCTCAGACCAACCTTCCCTGGGTCAACCTAGGTTCCACCAACCCAGCCCTGGGTTATTTTGGGAGCAGGCCTGTCAGGGAACTGCCACCAGTGCCGGAGGGAGAGAGCAAGCTCCAGAGGGATCCCAGAGAGCGTCCCGGGAGTGGGAGAGGCAGCCCATCTTCTGGGGAAGGGAATCAGCTTAGCTCCAGTGGAGAAGGGGGGCAGATGGGGGAATCAGAGAGGCGGTCACATGACCAGTGGGGAGAGGAAGGGTCCTCCGCTGCCTACGCCTTCCTTGCGCAGAAGGCTTCCGCGCAGGGAGAGTAGGAGGAGACTGGGCGTCAAAGAACTTCTTTGCCGGAAGAAGTTTAAGAAACGCCCACTGACGGATTCTGCCAGCGACTGAGACAGCCACGGGTGAGTGGCTGTCCGGACAGGAAAGGTTCACTCAGGCAACCCAGCCAGGTGTTGGCACAGGCTTATGCACGAGCAACCCCTAGAACCATTACAAGGCCTAATGTTTAATTACAGGTTTTTAAAAAATCAATGTTGCATCTTCTTCCTCTTCAACCAAGAGCAGGCGGGTGGTCAAATTCTGCATGGTCGTCATGAATCCCCAGGTTCCTATTTCATTGCCTCTCTCCTGCTTCCCATGATAACCCCTGGGCCCCCATTCGATTTGGATTTTAATGGTACCTTCCTCAGGAATGCAATTTTTCAAGACAAAAGCCCTAAAGCAAGCAATTCTTCTTTGCTGTTTTGCCTTTTGTTCAGTGGGGGGCAGCCTCCAGGCAAGTCAAGGAGTTGGCCCCTATGGTGATCTTTTCATTTTAGGTACATTCAAGATTAGGTTTTATCTTTAGTTTAGTCTCATTTCCTTTATTGTCCACAGAGTCAAATATCTCCCTATCTGTTCCTTCGGTTTTTTTGCTGTTGTTATCAGCCACTTATCAATATACGGTACTTTCTAACTGACACTTTCTCCAAACGGTTTGTGGTTACTGCAGAAACTACTCTTCTTTCATCTATTACAACTTTCCCCTTCAAAGGGCTCCACCAAGCTCATGTGGCCACTTGTCCTACTTTAAAGAGGGGTGTCTTCTATTTGAAAGGCTGTCTGGTCCAAGTCTGGTTAACACTTGGATAGCATGCTATTTCTATATAAAGGATAGTATTTCTTTCTAAATGTGTATCTGTACATACACATTAGCAAATTTATGATTTTTTAGGGCTGCCATACATCTGGGAATCACTCAGCAAAATGGGGTCTGGGTGGATTTTCACTGAACTGGCAAAATATCTGGGAAAACCCAGACGACATATGGCATGTAGGACTAATTCGGAAGAAATCAAAAGAAAGCCAGAAAGTAGCAACCCTAGATTGTTTTTAAAAAATGCTCTTTTGATTATGCATTTTCTATTTTGGGGGGGTGATGGTGCACTCACCTGTAGTTCCAATGCACTCTGTTTAAATAAATTGTGTGTTTTTAAAAGTAAGAACTGCCTCTAATTGGCCTGAATGCAGTCATGTGACAGCAATGGAGCTCGCTTAGGGTCTAATAGATCCCAGGCCAGCTCAGGGCTTTCCTTTGGGGACACTTTCAGCTGGGGTAAAGGGAAGTTCTGCACTGGCAGAATGGCACAGGTGTGTGTGTGTGTGTATTTTAAAAAATGACATTGACTTTAAAAATAATACAAAACATTTTTTAAGACCTTGCCTGGCTACTGTTGAGCTCTTTTAAAGATTCATTTATTTATTTTATTAACCAACTCTGTAGACCACTCCATGACATAAAGCCATTGGAACTGGTGTTCACAGTAAAAACGGAATGAAATGCAGCAACACAAGCTCCAAGAACAACAAAATAAAATAAAGAATACTCTAAAACAATGAAGCCATCTATACAAACTCTAAAAGCAGTAAAACCATTTCCTCAAATATAAACGGAAATTCCACAAATGCCTTGAATTACACCTCAGGGAAAGCCTTCCTAAACCAAAATGTCTTCAGTAGGTGCCTAAACACCATCAGGCTAGGCAGGTGTCTGATTTCAGATAGTAACTGAGAGCTGAATCTGCAATTCTAAAAGTCTGGTTTCTAGGACAGGCTAAGTGAAGCTCAGGATCAAAAGCTACTCTCAGTAGTGCCCCATCTGAAGAGCACAGCTGCTTGGCAGTGATATAGTTGGCAAGGCAATCCCTTAGATACCTTGGTCTCAAGTTGTTTAGGTCTTTAAGTACTAAAAAGCAGGGCCTTGAACTGTGCCTGGTCGCCATATTGGATTAGTAGATCAAGAGGTTTTAACAATCACTTAATCTAACCAATCAAACAATTAAGGACTTATAGCCATACTCTTGATATCCAACATCCACCTAAAATAGGCATGGTTACTTACATTTACCACAGTTTTGCTATGATGATGTGATAAAGATGATGTTTGACTGCATCCTATGAGAATGAGGATGGTTCAAATCCCTTGTTTATATTTTCTGTCTTTCTCTTTTCTCTTCCTACTTCTGTTGCTTTCCTCCAGTCATTAGGCACAGGCTCAACCCTATCAGTTAAACATCCTGCAAAGAGGGATCTCTTTTTTGTGGATCTGAGCAGATGCCCTGTGGCTCTCTTATCTCACGTTTCTCCCCTTTAGGTATCTTCACAGAGAATGTAGTTGAAACCAATCTCCCAGGAAGACGAGATAAGAATGAGAGGAACTGTGCAGCCCAAGAACCCTCATGCTTTGTTCTGAGTTGTCTCCATCCCAGCCTGAGATATGTTAAATCCCACCAGGAAATTAATTCTCTTTGGACTTTTAATGTGAAAGTTTTTGGTCTGTGCAGGAAGAATGTGAAAAGGCAATTTCTCTTTAAATTGGTACACAGATACCTGGGTGTCATAGCAACCGAGGAATGCCTAAGCAACATTCTAAGTGGTCATCCATTGCTCATCCTCAAGAAGCTCCAACAGCTAGCTGAATATATAGATGGACAGTAATTTATCAAGTGAGCAAAACCATTTTGTAGGCTTGTGGTCTGTATCACCCAGCCAAATGGTGAGGAAAATCCCACCACACTTCCACAGTAAATCAGAAACCTGGGGAAGTACTTGCCAGGAACTTACAAAATGACTATCTTATTAAGTGGCTATGTAGTTGCCAATATCATTTGGCAAGTAGTCACTTGCATGCATTCAGCTCTCTCCCTGGCTGACATTGGATTCAGCTACATTAGTAAAGAAAAAACACTTTACATGCGTTATAAACACTGATATACCTGAAGGAGCATCTCCACCCCCATCATTCAATGAGGTCCAGCTCTGAGGGCCTTCTGGTGGTTCCCTCACTGCGAGAAGTGAGGCTACAGGGAACCAGGCCGAGGGCCTTCTTGGTAGTGGTGCCTGCCCTGTGGAATGCCCTCCCAACGGATGTCAAGGAAATCAACAACTATCTGACTTTCAGAAGACATCTGAAGGCAGCCCTGTTTAGGGAAGTTTTTAATGTTTGAGGTTTTATTGTGTTTTTAATATTCTGTTGGGAGCTGCCCAGAGTGGCTGGGGAAACCCAGCCAGATGGATGGGGTATAAATAATAAATAAATAAATAAATAAATAAATAAATAATAATAATAATAATAATAATAATAATTATGACACCAGATGGCACTGTGGAGTCTCATCTTTCACCAACGTGATTTCCCATTATGAAGTTTACAGCACATTTTTTTCTGAAACGCTTTTATGATGTGTCTAGATCCAGCCATTCTTTGTACAAATTGTACAGTATCTGCAAGAGGTTACCAAAAACACAGACTTTTTGAGGACTTTCATTTTAAATTTCATGGAGAGCAAAAGCTGTCGTAGTGATGAAAATTAGATCCATATGCTTGAATTAACTGCGGACGCAATACATATCTACACAGATATACAACCTGAGTATAGGGGCTCATAGCATTAATACCCCAACAGATCTTGCTTCCTCATTAGTGTTCCAGG